CTCCATACATTTTTATTACCTGTTATGCTTTACACTGATAAAAACACTGGATATTATTTATTTGTCTGGCTGACTGACAAAGCCAGGCATCAAAGCATCATTCCAGTGTCACATACTTCAACGCTCTAATCTTTCAGAACTTGTAAAGCAATCTCTTACGGCGCTTTGTGGGCTGTGAGATCACCCTGACAAACTGTGATAATGTTGGCAATCTCCAAATGGGTGTTCATTTGCAATCTTACTACAGAGGAATTGCTATGTTTCCAAATTTGAGGGCTTGACATAATCTGTCTTCACAAAGCTATCAGGGTCTGTCATAAGGCTGTCTGTGACCCAGGGATTTTATRGGGTCAATATCTATCCCCAGTGAAACTTCATTGCAAGCAGCGGAATTACCTAGAGTATGACTTTATCTATTTGCTTTCTCTCCCTTTATTTAAAATACCCCTTCTTTGTATAATATTTTTTTAAGCACAAACAGCACCTACTAATAACATCTGAGCCAGGTGGGGGAGACTGCTCCTCCAAACCACAGCCAGCTTCTCACCGTCCATGCCAAACCCTCTGCTCTCCTCATCACACTGAGTGGCTGAGAAACAATGCAAATGTCAGGTCAAGCTACAAAGCTATTGCCATCATCTCTTCCCTTCCTTATGCTCCCAGTACTGGCAGTCTCTGGGCTGCAGTCCACAGGATATCCACAATTATGGCCCAGATTGAGGGAGGGGTAGAAAAACGATGGTACTCTGCCAATTATGTCAGAACCTAAACTTGATCCATTTTAAAACTGAAGCTGGGGACTGTGGGATAGCACTGTGTTTGCTGTAATTTGTGTAAGGAAAAGAAAATAACTTATCATCTCAAAAAAAAAAAAAAAGCAAAAAAGGCAGAGTTAGTGCAGACCTATAATAAATATTTTATATTTGCCTCTGAACCTTATCTTTAACTCAAGACAATGCTATCTGGGTGTAGAAGGAAGATTTTAAAAATGCCATAAGACTGTTAAGCACCTCAAGAAAAAGCGAGACAGGGAGTGTCASGCTTTGTTATATTCATGAGGGCCACACACCCGCTAGTGAAGTAATTCTGTTTTGAAATTACTTAGGATTCCTTTAGAAAAGCCAGGAACACAGGATGGAAATAGAAAACTAAAAAAAGTGCATCCAGTGTTTCAAAATACGCTCCCTGCACAACACCCTTTCCCTGCTATCATCTCCTGAGGCAAATTTCCCAGGCAGTTCCTCTCAGTTACCAAAAGATCTTCCCCAAATCTTGCTCAGGGTGGGGGTGAGCAGCTGGAACCCCRCCCTGGTGGGGTCAGAAAGGCCAAGCCAGGCAAGGCATTGGGGCACAAACTGACCTTTAAATAGAGGATACTCTGCTCAGCTGACATTGGGTCGTTTTGCTATATTTACTACGGTTTTCAAACTAAGTTCTACTCCTTGGATTATTCCATCTAATCAAAATGAAAGATCAAAGTTGCTAAAGATGCACCATACTTTGTTTTACTCCCATTTAAACTATTTTCTGCATTTCATTCTCTGTTAAAAGGGAGGTCAGCATCCTGATCCAACCTTAGGAATAAGGGCCTAGCTGCAATACTACTGGAAAATTTTGGAATCCAAATAAATTCCAAACTTGTATTTTGGCTTGAATTTATTGCAAACTTGCTCCTGCTCTCGAAACGCCTACTACTTTTACCAGGAGCAGCAATTATCCCTTGTGTCTCCTTAATCTTTCAGAAAAGAATGTGCAGCCTTGGAAGCCCAAGGTAAATGTTTTATTATCTTGCTGAAGTCAGTAGGTTCCATGGATATCAAAAAAAGGTTCATGAAAAGCGAGTACAAAAATCCACGGGCTTCAAAAGGTTAAGCAGCTTCACTTACACAAACACAGCAGTTGGGACAATCCCCAACAAAGCAATGCAAGTGGTRTGTGCCTTTGCTTCCTAAAAATCCTTTCTCGAGGGTGAATGTTTTTATTTTATAGTAAGCAGAAAACTGTTGAGTAGACGTGTAGACTGGTTATTATTTGACTCTTCTCTACATARATCTGTTTTTAAAGACAAAAGAGTCAAAGCAAAGAGCCCTATGTCTCTGCTAGTGCCACTTCAGAAGGTTTTTGCTAGCCACAGTTGGATTACAGCAATGTTTCTCCTTTCTAATTTCCACGTTTTTTAGTATTTTTTAATACTGACAACAAAATTTTCCAAAAAAATAAAGAAAACAGACTGTCGCTGGTAGATCACTATTTATAGATGGAAAGAACACAGAAACATTTTAGATTTCTCCTAAACAAGGGGGCTCATACCATGACAGCAACTTCTAATGTAATTCATTTGTCTTAAAAATGACATCCCTGGGGATATCCCAGAAAATTAATTAGGTCAGAGAGGGAAGGAAAACAAATTGAAAACTTCTCAAAACTCKAGGAAACAATAAGTTTCAAACACAGCAGTACCAAAAGTCTCCCTGTGAAAATTCTTCCCTCCTCTTCCCCTGTTCTTCTTTCCAGGAGACCAAGATTCTCAGATTGAGAATCATCCAGGCCCACCAAGGTCAAAGAAACCATATACATTCAAGTACAGAACATTTCTGAAATGGAAGATTTTGCAAGCAGTTCTGCCTTTCCAAACTGCAAACTCCCTGGAAGAATTCTGAAATTTAATTTAGTAAAGACATTCATTGTGCTAATGTGGCTTTAAACACAAAGCTACAGTCACAAGATGTGGACATGATACATTCATCACACAACAGAGAAAAGCAAAGGAGGGGAAGGCAGAAGAAAACAATTAGAATTTGAGACAAATTCTAATACTGGCCAAAGTCATCCTCAAATCAAAACTCTGAAGATTTGCCTGTTCATTTCTCTAGAATTTAGACAAAAAGGAATTTGCCATGCACTTTTTCTGCAACACCCTGTCTTCATTTTGTGCAAGAAACAACACTTAGGTTGTTTTCACTCTTCCCAACACAGTTCATCAGATTGGAAGTGTTAATGCACATGTACAAAATCCAAGGCATTTTCTGATTCCATTGGTAACACAGATCAAATTTTGTAYTTCCTGATGCCTGTCCTACCTTCCAGTATTAAGGGAAGAACAGAAAGATAAYAAAATGCAGGGAAGTAACTGAGTTGATGGTGCTTTATCATTGAAACTTTAACAGACTGCACTAATGGATGACTCCACAGTACAGATTTCACCTGGATCATGTGAGGGCATAAGATGCCATTTCTGCCAGCCCTTATATGTGCAAATGTTAGCAGCAAGGAACAAAAGGTATCAGATAAGKCACAGAGCTTGCTGGTAAAAGTCAACACATCAAAATATATTTTAAAAACTGCATCAGAGAATTTATAATGGCTCCGTGCTTTGCATTTTGAGGTGACAGAGTTCTCGATCTGGTAGAAAGTTCCCAAAGCTCAATTTACTACATTGTCAAAATATAGCCTGAGGGGACATTCTGACTTACAGCATCTTTATGACTGGTGATGAAAGAACCTCGCTTGGCTTTTAGATCCCAAGTTTGGCTCAAGATAGTGCAGAAGAGAACAGAACATCTTCTATTTTATGCTGGGTGTTCACAGTGTTCCTCTTCAGCACAGAATTAGGTTTTACTCTATAGAATTCTTACACAGCTCGCTGATGGGTTAGAATTCACACCTTCAGGTTTTGGGGATATACTTCACACCCTGCATTGTTATTGCAACTAAAGATACAGATTACACTGTCCTCATGTCATTGTAGCATCTGTAACAGAAATCTTTAGAAAATACAGGGAAAAACTGCATCTTTCACAAGGCCACAGTATGTCTTATTTAGCCTTGGAGAGACTTCAGAGTACAATAACTGCATTAATTGGACATTATACAGACAGCCAAGTAAAGCTCAGTTACTGTGCAGATTTTACTGCTCTTTGTCATGTTGCTTCAAAACACATTTCATGTTTTAACCAGTCATATATACATATGAAAGCATTTTGCAACACTGGACAATGCTACAGATCCAAAGGAAATAATTGTTTCACAAACATGAAGCAATCTGCACAAATATAAATAGCGTGGACCAAATCTGTTCTAAATTATTCTTGTGCAAACCCATGGAAGTCAACTAGTACCATTAACAGAATAGAACACATAGGAGGATTTAAAATATAAAATATGGCTCTACTGTTCAGATATTCATGGTCCAAACCATGCCAGACTGCCATCACTTACTTTCTACTATATACAGGAAATAAGAGAAATTCTGGGATTTCTAGTTCTCTCATGCACTGGAGGACACAAGTCCAAGAACATATGGGCTTAAATGTGTCAGCATCCTGCATCACTCTTATTTGAAGAACATTATTAAATTTTTGTGGGTGGAGTCCAAAATTGTAATGCCATATTAACACACAGTGGCTGTTTCTGTAATGTGTGTGTCACAGGGAGCATATGTGTAGCAGTCCAAGGAYAGCATTTAAACTTGATTTCAAGTGATTTTCTGAATTGTAATACCCTCAAAAGATGAAGTACTGATGCTGCTAGCAGGGTATTTCACAACTTTTGTCTTCACAGTTTCATCCAGTCACCTCAATTSTGACCTCTAGGATATCATGCTATTGCAGATCTGGACTCCACACAAAGCTGTTTCAACAAATYTCATTTTGCTCTCTAATGCACAGCGTGTGACTTCAGGATTGGTATTTTCAATGCTGAACCGAGTCATACGAGTGATGTATGCTACTCCAGGCAAAAAGCAAGACTWATATCAGAAGATTCTTTGCCATGCTGACTCTACCTACATTTCAGTCCCAATCTTTTCAAATTCAGTCCCAATCTTTTCGCAGGTACAGACAGATACCTTGGGAATCAGCCATGTAAACGCTCCAACTGGATACAGGGAGAAAAGTATTGCCAAAGGCTTTTGGGCTGGGACTCAACAGGTGGTTTGGCACTGAGATTTCTACCTGTTTGTGGTTTTCATCTCTGATTCAAGAAAGAAAATGAGCTTATACCTTTCAGTGCTGCATCTCAGGCAGGCTGTACGCAGAGCAAGGTTTCATTCCAACCAAATCTCTCTCTCTTGCAAAGTTGAGGAAAACTGCCAACCACTGCTGCTCTTGACATCAACACGCGATGCAGATGTCAGGAAAGGGAAAAGAAAAGGGAGAGAAGAAAAAAGAAAAATAAAACTGTAAGTTTACATACGCAAGAAACTGTACTTCATGATTACATCTGAGGAAAACAAAATAAAAAATACTGGCTGTAGTATAAGGAAAYAAGTAAACAAACCTTGGAACAGCTTAATCTAAGAGCTTGTGGGGGGTTTTTGGTTTGGGATTTTTTTTTGGTTTGGGTTTTCTTTAGTGTACTTGATACAGAGAATTTTTGTTTACATTCAATTCCAGGAGATAAAATACTTCTATATGATAAACTTAAAGGGACAAGATAAAAGAAACAAATCCATCATAGCATCAAAATGAACTACTCCATTACTCAGAGAAGAGTCTAAGCACCTTTAACAAACACCCTGAAAAGCAGCAGAAGCACTCACAACATATGCTCTTGCCTGCAAAYAGCCCAGGGTGCAAGAGGTGGGTTTCATTTTTCAGTTTTTAAARCCTTCTGCATAGGCCTAACTCTGCCTTTGTTGAAGGTAGTGTTAACACACACTGAATGCAGAAGGAACCGAATGTGGATAACTGCATACTTTGAAAAATCACACCCAATATGTTCAACTGATGCCATCGTTTCCCGAGGACAAGAGTAGGCTATGGAATACTACAAATAATAGAGAGCAGTAGTCTAAAGCAAGCTTCCCAGGACCAAGAAAACATATTTCAATACWTTTTCACAGATAATTGGGGATGTGCATCTTCAAAATAGTAGTCAAGAGCAGGTAAAGACTGTCTAGAGATGCTTACTGTGACAGAAGTCTCAATGCCTTTTCATAAAATAAGAGTTCTTCAAAGCAACTCTCAACAACCATTAAGGGAACAGTCAGTGAATCTATGCTTTTTGGATTAAAGCAAGAAAATGAAAGTCAGTGCTTCTCCACAGACACAGATGWGATGAGAACGAGTTCAATACATCAGCTAGCCATCAAAATGGGCTCACATTCACCAGCGCACAGAAAAGTGGAATCCTAATGACCAGCAAGAGCTTCACTTTGCCCCAGTAAAACCATTTCAGGAAGTTGTAGATACTAATTTGTCTACAGACTATGAGAACCACATGATGGAATTGTAKCAAATCATCTATACTAAGGTAGACTGAACTGAAGAGAAAATGGAACTACTRTATCATGATGATATAATTACTTGARGGAAAGGGGCCCCAAAATGTTCTATTCCTGAGTTTAAATAATCAGCCAAGTAAGTCTTTTTTCCTCTGTCYTTCCACAAAAATACAGTTCTCAGATAACCAAAACAGAAATTTTTCTTCAACTACCTAAAAATAAGAGGGGGTCAAAAAAGAGTAAACAGTCTTTCAGAATCAGCAGTTGGCAAATRTTTAAACTTTTCTTGGGTAAAACAGTTATGCCTCGAGAAAATTTTCATTTCAAGAGAAATAATTTCCATGGAAAAATCTTATCCTTTGTAGCTGGCCGTGGCTACAAAAGATAAGGCTATGGAGAAGGTGAAAGCCAAGGCCAGGGCACAGGGTGTAGCACAGACCCCTTGAAGGATCACAGGCACAGCGCATCCATTCGCTGTGATGTTCTTTCTGCTCCAACTTCTCTGCCTACGTAGAGCCTCCCCTCTCCAGGGCAGGAACTGTCTCTCACTGTATTTTGTGCACAGCCTACTRTAACACGTGTGTTTAATGACTTTCAGCACCACAGTAGCAACAGTGTCTTTTCCTCCTCCAGCAGCCACTTCCCAACACCAAGATGAGGAGAAGAACGTGACCTATGGCTGCAACACAAAGCTAATCAAACACTATTGTAGAGCATGGGGATGCGGGGGGATGCCTTTTCAGCACAGAACTAATCAGAGTTTATACACACAAAATCAGTAAACTATACAGTTCAGTCTTGTGATCTGCGTTCCAAGCTGCCAGAAATAAGGCAGGAAAGAGGGGTGGGGAAGGGGGAGAAGCATCTCCTGCACTCATAATGAAAGAAGAGAGATGACTGGACTAAGAGCTGATGAGGTTACAAGGCAACAGCAGTGCCATGAGTTGTTTGGGCTTAAAGCCAGATGTCTTGTATTTCCTTTGATTGTTTCTAAATAATTAATGGTATTAATTTAATCATGTGACCCACCCACCCCCCCTTTTAGTATTTGGCTCTGTGTACTAACACTAAATATAAAGGAGAAAAACGGTGCTGTCTGTAGCGTACTGAATATTGATGCTGTGTGTTTGGACTGCAGCAACAGCTGATACTCATCTCCCTGAGACTCCGTATTCCACAGCACTCACGCAGCGTTTGCACGAAGGAGATGGAGTAGTATCCTTCATCCTCCATCCATAAACCAACCCAACTATGGCATATGGACACTGCATGTTTGGAGTAGTGAAAGAGAGGGTACATCGCTCCCTCTCCGCCCACACTAAGATGAACCTGCCACTACTGCTTCACGTAACATTTTCTGGCAAGCTCCCAGTTTTCAGTCATGCTGGTTTGCTTSAAAGAAACACTCAGAGGAGACTCTGCTTGTCTTGCTGTTCGAACAAACAAAATAATCACGCATCTTGAGTTAATGGCCCAAAGCTTAATGAAGATCACAGAAAAGAGGCTGCCTGTGATGGGAGCATTCCCTTCTGACTTAGCCACATAAGCCACTGCTGTTGGCAAAAGGAAAYGGATTATGAGGATAATAAGTAACCCGGAGCTCTGGTCTAGACAAACCTTTGCTTGGTGCAGTAGCAGTAAGTGCACAAAGACAACAGCAACAACCAGAAGTAAAAATTTCCCTTCTCCACAATTTTCTACCCCAGGGCACTGGCAGCATCAGCAGGAGGACCCGTGTTTCTTTCTCATGGGAATATTTGGGTTGAGTACTAGGACCGCAGGACTCTAACAGCGGGATYCCTGAACAAAGGAAGACTCGTGAAGGCAGATCCCATATGCATGATTCTCTATATGTACTCAGTAAAAATGTCTGCCCACCCTCCTGTACACTGCAGCACACTTTCAGCTGCCCTAGTCAAGATTCCAGCCCCACCCATCTTACCCACCCTTTTTTCCTACCACATTCTTACTTATCTTGAATCCCGTGGTGCCTACCGTAGAATGAGAATCATAGAATTGTCTGAGTTGGAAGAAACTTTTAAAGGTCATCTAGCCCRACCCTCCTGCAWKGAGCAGRGACCTCTCTCTGCAACCAGATCAGCTTGCTCAGAGCTCTGTCCAACCTGACACTGAATGCTTCCAGAGGTGGGGTACCCACCACCTCTCAGAAACCTATTTCAGTGCTTTATTTACCATCAGATCTTTTTACATCTTATTACATCTATCAGATCAAGACTGGCAGGGGTGCATTCTACAGCAACAGTTCTTCAGCCAAGGGAAGTGAAAACTGAAGAATTCYCCACCAGAAAGCCTGATCCTAATCTTCAAGGACTTGACCCTGTGATCAGCTCAGCTGGTTAGAGTGCTAATAATGCCAAGAYTGTGAGGTTAATCCCTGTATGGGCTTTTCACTCAAGAGTTGGACTCGAWGATCCCTGTGGGTCCCTCTYWACTCAGAATATTGTGTAACWTCTGACTTGGCAGTCAAGACCTAGCAATCCTAAGGCATCTTCCTTCCCCACRAAATCACTACAGGTTCATAGGAAGAAGTCTGTCTCATTACATAAAGATCATATGAGAAATACACCTGAGCCCTTCAACTGGGACTGGAGCAGCACCAAAAGCAGCTTTGGCCCTGCACACTGCACAGAACATCACCTGGAGGGAGCATCAGCACTGCCAAATCACAGCACGAGGACTGCAGGCAGGGTGGCAGAGTGCCCTGGGTACCAGAGCTCAGGCTGTGGGGCTCTTCTGCAAGAAAGGAGCAGGATGAATACCACACTAGCTGTGCTTTGAAGAAAACATTTCACCCTGTACCATTAGTGCTTCTCTAACACTGTTATGGGTTATTTTTATGAATAAAATTATGGGTTCATTGCTTATGGACACATGTAAAAGGAGAAAACACTAAATCATATCAGTTAAAGCAAGATGAGGAAGAGTAACACACACAGCCAAACCTGAAGTGACTCCTTCAGTTCCTACCAGCTACCCACGGTGGAGTGGCAACTCTTAGACAAGCAAAAAGCACATCAGGAGTACCTAATGCCAGAGTCCTCCCCTTGGAAATCATTCACAGAAAATGGGCTCTGCAACTTTGAACGGGAACAAGAGGAAACTGCTTCTGGACAGGAATGATGGCACAGAAAGGACCACCCTGTTTGCAAGGCAGAAAMACTGCAAATAGACAAAAATACAGCTGAACAGTCACAGCACCTTATGAGCAGCCCCTGTACCTAACTGTGGGTTTTCAGGATTTTGGGAGGTCATGGTGGAGTGAAAAGACAGCATTTTTTCTATGGTGACAGGGATCTCTGAAAGTGTCTACGTGCCAGCCTTGGCTGAGAACGTATCTTTTGTTCCTTCTTCTGCRTTATTTCCCTTTAATGATAGCTTTGCAGTGAATCCCATTTGTGAGTCGCTCAAATAAATGCAAATTTTATCTTGTAAGCAATACCCTCCAAAATACAACTACTGCTGAAAATAAAAATCTGAAGAGCTAAAAGGCATTGGGTCTTCCCCAGTTCTCCCATCTCCCCAATGCACTGGACTGCTTGCTATTATTATATATGGGGTATCAGGCAGGGTAATTGCTATTATAGATATGTACTGTATTGAAATATATAGCCCAAGTCCCCAGGGCCCAGCATTCTAATTAGAACTACAGTTGTGCAAATAACTGATTTATTTGGCTAGCTGACCAAACTGAGAGCATGGAAAGGAAAAAAACAACCAACCAAACAAAAATCACCTATGTGTTTCATGAAATGGGTTAATTTTTTCTGTCTGTGTTCAATACATTTAGATTAAAATTGACYAAGTTACAAAACAAAAACAGAAACCTTGTTTAGAAATACAAAAACAAAATCTGGC